TTTCAATTGATTCAAGCCAGATCATTCATATGGCTCAAGGAGAGAAAAAGATGACACAAATTTTCCCTCTCAGACTGGTTGCAAGATCCTAGATCGAGCATGAGGAATGGTTAGCAAATTTCTGAATTTGTGTGTTTATGTATGTTTTAAGAAGAAATCTGTCCAAAGTCTTGGCATTTTTTTGGATTTGAGAAAGGGTTGCTGGCTGTATGTTTTCCGGCTGGGATTGGATGCAAAACCCTGTGGTGTGTTTTTGAAGGACTAGATGTGCTATTCTACCATTGAAGAAATTGCAAAAGAGGACAGAAACCCGACACGGGTGTGGTGTCGACACATAAATTTGGTGTCGACACCATACAGTAAGCATCCAAAATTAGCAAGGACTGTTCGGCTCTCATTAATTTATGTCTTTCAAGTTGGAATGTTTATGGGTTTGGAGTACCCATTGTATTCCACTTTTTAATAAATGTCACTTTTTGCTGTTAAAAAATAAATAAATAAAAGAATCGGGGACGAAGAATGTATTACCAAAATCCTCAGCGGGGAGGATTCCGAAGAAGATCAACAATTGAAAATTGTTTATTTTATTTTATTTTATATGTGTTGGAAACTTATTTATTTGATTCTTCATGTATTTGTTTGTTTTTATTGGTACATCTTCATGTACTTGCTTCTATTGCTGAATTAGTTTGATGATGATTTATCAGGTGCTTGAAGATGGTGTTCTAGATCCAGAAACAACAGTGGTGACTATATTCCCAACTCCCATATATTATGCCTGCCCAAATGAAGTCCAGTGGCATGAAATATCTTTGATAAATTCAGGGGCTAGCTTTTACATTGTTTGTAGAGCCCCGCTGGCATGGGCCATTCACATGATGCTTGATCATGGAACAAGGTATATATTAAGCTCAGTTCTGGGACTTAAACGACTAAATATCCTTCCTTTCAAGGTAAGTACAGTATTCAGGATTCAATATGTTCATTAAAACTATAGCGTTGCTCTGTCCTATAAATATGTGAAATTGCTAATACTTGCAATTGTTTTTTGTTTAGGTTGCTGCGTTTGACAAGAATAATGTTACATTTTTCTTTTCTTTTGATAAGTAAGAATAAGGCTAACTGACTTTATTTGATTCCACAAAGGGTTTAAAACAACTTCATATTGGGCACCAAGGCACCTTTTCTCCACGTACTCCTAAGATTCATGTTGCTTCAGTGGCTAGAAAGTGCTTATCAATGTTGCAATAATAACTTACTCATCTTTGCAGCGTGTTGCATATTGACTTTTGATAATGCTTTTGATTACATTCAAACAAATATTAAACATGTTGAGTTGAGCTATTCATGTCAAAAGAATCAAGTTATTTTATTATATATTTCTTCTATACAAATAGAATTAATGGAGAAAACTGTGAATCGAACTATAAAATATTTATGTAAAAATTTGAAGGATGAATTATAGCCTATACAAACATAGAGTTTGTCTAACCTAAGAGTGCAATAAAATATATCTTTTTGTAATTAATTTACATTAAAAATTATAAACATTGATATATATTTTAACATTAATGACATATAAATAATTTTAATTAGTTAATTGATTAAATCAAATTTAACATTTATATTTTTAATAAAAATTAATTATATTATCTTGTGTCTAAGGTACATAATAGAAAAGTCCACAAACACAAAGGAAAAATCTAAAGCAAATCATAGGATATGCAAGCAGATATTTAAGGAATGAATAAATTTTTGAAGCATTGTGCGCACTCCTTCCATTTGAGATAGCTGAAAATAGGTCTCTCTGGCACCGGTATACACTTGACGATGGAGCCAATGGGCCAAGATACAGCAGCCATGGCGATGCAGGCGCCCCATTGTCCCCAATTCAACCTCTCTGTACCTGCAAACCGCTTTAGAAACTCCACCGTCAGCGCTTGAATGACAATGATCATTCCGATGATCCCTAAAAACAGCTTGTTCTTATGAATATCCTTGAATACATTCTTCTTTTCCAGCTTCCTTGCGTTGAATTCATTGAAAACTTGACAAAGTACCGAAGTGTTGAAAATCAAGGTGTCATTAACGGCTTCAGTTACTTTGAATATTGATTCTCCTTTGAATTGCAAGGCCAGGAGTATTGTAATTTGGTAAAGAGCTTGACCCAGGAGGTTCCTCCACATAATATTGGTAATCAATTGCTCTGTGCGGCCAACGGGCGGCTTCTTCATCAACTCCTTGGTGGGCTTCTCTGTAGCTAGAGCCAGAGCACCCAATGTGTCCATGATCAAGTTCACCCACAAAAGCTTAGGTATTGTTAAAAGAGCTTTTCCTGCAAAAATGGCTGTCACGAAGTTGATCACCAGAGCTGCAACATTTGCTGTTAGTTGGACCTGAATGAATTTTTGTATGTTGGTGTAAACGCATCTTCCCCACTTCAAAACGGCAGCCACGGAAGCGAATTTGTCATCCAGGATAACAATATCGGAGCTCTCCTTCGCAACTTCCGTCCCTTGAATCCCCATTGACAATCCGATGTCAGCTTCTTTAAGTGCTGGAGCATCATTGGTACCATCCCCAGTGACTGCAACTACGTGTCCTTTCTGTTTCAAGCACTGCACCATGAGAAGTTTGTCAAAAGGAGACGATCTTGCCATAACGCAGATCTTCTCCACCTTCTCCATCCTCTCTTCTGATGTATAGTTCCGGAATTGCTCGCCTTCCACGATGGCTCCACTATCAACGTCCTGACCTGGCCGGAGAATCCCACATTCAGTGGCAATAGCTCTTGCTGTGGAGACATGGTCGCCAGTAATCATCTTAATGCTCACTCCGGCCGATTTGCAGTCCTCCACTGCCTTCTTTACCCCTGGCCGACATGGATCCTTGATACCTACAAGTCCCAACAAGGTCAAGTTTTCCTCTTTAAGCTTTTTCTTCTCTTTCACATTTTCTTCCTCTGTTTCTGCAACTTGTTTGTGAGCAAAAGCAATGCAGCGGAGACTGCTTGCCGCCATTCCCTGAATAATTTTCTTGAATTCCATCCTTTCTTCTCCATTAAGATCTTTCATAACTCCTGAAGCATCATAGTAGCTTGAGCACATACCCAGAATCATTTCTGCTGCTCCTTTCCAATGAACGTGAACTGCGTTATCTTCTTTCTTCTTGATCAGAACTCCGCTCCGTTTCTTCTGAGAATTGAAAGCTTCCACAAAGAGAATTGTGAAATTCCTCTTTATTTCCTCCTGATCCATCTTCATGTCTAGAGCAGCCCAAGAAAGAATTGCTTTTTCCGTTGGACTACCAGAGAATTCGAATTCCGACCCTGAAGAGCCTCTGTAAACAACTCCGGTTGTGTTCAGAGCAACTCCTTGATGAATCAAGTTAACAACAAACGGAGAAATGGAAGAAGAAGCTCCATCCATGGTTTCCTTTCCCTGCCAGAACTTTGTCACCTTCATCTGATTAAGTGTAAGAGTACCTGTTTTGTCAGTGCAAATTGTGGTGGCAGACCCCATAGTTTCACAGGCGGAAAGCTTCCGAACCATTGCCTGATCCGCCATCATTTTCTTCATTGAATAAGCCAAAGTCAGTGTAACAGCCAATGGCAGCCCTTCTGGGATAGCAACAACGACGATGGTAACAGCAGAAGCAACTATCCCCACCACAGCATTTATTATATCATCGGCTTTTGTGCTGCTTCCATTGAACTCTATATTTCCATTCTCATCTGTAGTGTGTCCGGTGAAGTAACGAACCAACAACACTACAAGAACCAAGAAAGCCACTGCCAAACCGACCTTACCTATTGCGGACGTTAGCTTGTTTAACCGGACTTGTAGTGGCGTCTGCTCGTTTTTGTCGCCTGTCACGTGGCTCATCATCTGGCCCCAAGTCGTGTTCATTCCAACGGAAGTGATAAGCATCTGGGCGTACCCATCAACCACCTTGGTACCAGAAATCAAGAACGGATTTTTCTTTGAATTCACCTCAACATGGTCGCTCTCCCCTGTCATGCCGGATTCGTCAATCCGCAGAGAATGTCCGTTCAAGAACAACCCATCAGCTGGAACCTGATCCCCGATTTTCAGGCAAACAATATCTCCGACCACGATATCAAATATTGAAATCTGTTGCCGCCTGCCGCCTCTGATGACATCAATTTGGATGTTGTTGCTGACTGTAGACAATTTGTCGAACTGTTTGTTCTGTCTGTAGTTGCTGATGGCAGAAACGCTAATGACCAGAAAAACAGCCACGAAAATACTCCCACCATCATACCAACCGTCTTTCAAGCCATGCTCCTTGATGCCAAAAGCAAGAGAAAGTGCGGCGCAGCCAAGTAGGATCAAAATCATGAGATCCTTGAAAGCTTCCACCACAAAATGGAAGATACTCTTAGATGGTGGTTTTTTGTAGGTGTTAGAACCAAATGCCTCCTGTCGGTGAGCAATGTCCTCAGCACCGCCTTTGATTCCACTATCCAGGCTGGTTTGAAGGGAAGAAGCCGCCCCATTCACCCCGCCAATTATCTGAAGCTTCCCAAGCTTTTTCTCCTTTACAATCTCGGTGAGAGTGGTCTCGTCAATTTTGAAACAACTGTTTTCGGTGGGAATTGTGAGAACGACATGAGAAGGAACGGGCGAAACCTTGATTGCTTTCTCTTTGGAAACATGATTCTTGACGAGAGAAAACAGAGCCCTTGAGCAGTAGATGGTGA